GCCTAGTGACTAAGGTCCTTGCCTTGAATGACCGGGATCCCATATGGATGCCAGTTCTAATCCTGGCAGCTCCACTTCCCATCCAGCTCCCTGCTTGTGGCCTGGGAAAGCAGGCGAGGACGGCCCAAAGCTTTGGGACCCTGCATCCACGTGGGAGACCCAGAAGAGCTTCCTGGATCCTGGCTTTGGATCGGCGTAGCATCGGCCATTGCGCTCACTTGGGGAGTGAATCATCGGATGGAAGATCTTCCTCTCTGTATATCTGACTTTCCAATAAATAAATAAATCTTTAAAAAAATCTGCCTTTCGAATAAACTTTAAAAAAAAAGTATTTTCAGTTGGAGAATATACATTATAGAGCTGCAGATAAATGCACTTTAAAATATTCTTAACGACTTCTTAGGAAGTGCCTACCAGCTTAACTATGGATGGGAGTTCAATTGGAGTGTTTCATTAAGTGGAAGTGTTAGTTCATTGCTAACCTGGCCAGGATCCTAATTGGTATTTACCACAAAGGAGCCTTTTCAGTAGACCTACTCTGAGCTGTTGCCTTGAGAGCATTTTCCTGGAGGTCTGCAGTAGGCAGAACTTGTCTCAGTTCAGCAGTGACGTTCATGTCTCTATGTATGTGTTTAGATGCAAGCTGTACAGTGTCTGCTGTCAGCACTTATCATTACTACGAAGAGGCAGGTACTCTAAGTGCATTGAAAGAATGTTCCCATCCTTATTGATGTTATAACTCATGAGAGTCGGAGTGCAGAGTTGGAAACACATGCCTTGGACACACCTGGATCTGGTCTCAGGGTCACGCCTGAACTCTCAGCCCCCACCCTCACCTCTGGGTCCCCAGGAGTCCAAAAACCACTTCAGCATCGTGTCTCAAAAACAAAATTATTACAGAAGCCGCCAATTCTGATTTTTATTTTGGGGTAAGATCTATTCATTGATTTTAGTGCTGGTTTATATACAATGTGTTATGATAGACAATGTATTATTTAATAGTTATTCTGTTTCCCCAGACTAAATGCAATCAAATGTTTTCATGCTACACATTTCCATGCTAGCATGCATGCAACATGTTAATTCTGAGCTGCTCTGGGAAGCTGCAGTAGGCCCCAACCATCTGAATTCTTACCAATGACATGTACTTGGTTACGATAGAAACTGAAGTTTGGGAGACGCTGGAAACTTAGGTGCCATAATCATGAGCTAACTACACTTTTAGAGCCGCCTGAGGCTCTGGGCCACCATGTTGGACAGTGGAGATAGAACATTGCAGAAAGTTCTTCTGCATGGTGCAGAACCAGGGCAGCTGAGAAGAATCAAGCTGACGTCTGAGGCTGGTCATTCGGTGCATGGAAAAATCGACGGAGTTACCCTCCGCAAATTTGCTACTGGTTGTTGTGCACAGTTGGCTAGTCCACGCAGCTCCTTCTCTCATCATAGATGCTGACGTTCTAGTTCCCTTCTGGTGTTTGCAGTCATTCACGAAAGTCAGTGGGAAAGCCAGCCTCCCGGTGCCCACATACCCCTGGGTTTCTGTTGCCTCGTGCTTTTCCCTGGTTGAGGAATCTCGATGACTTTCTGCCCCACAGACATCCTGGCTGAAGAAATGGTCAGGGAACCTCTGAGTTTTGTTCACTTTCTACACGTTTGTCTTTTAAATGGTGCATTCCCAATCATTTTTAAAGAAATCAGTTAAGTAAGGCTTTGTTGTTGGGTGGAACACCAGCCCTTGGGAGGTGCGGTGGTGCTGGGGGAGGGAGGGAGGAAGGGGGGTCACACTCCCTGGTCAAGCCGTCCTTTCCCTAGCGTGCGGCCTTCTGATTCCACTACCCTGCCTAGCCTCCCATGCCCCAAGTTCTCTGTCAAGTGTCTGTATATTATGGATCCTTTTACGCGAGTCTTGGTTTAGCTCTGCTTACCCTTCTAGTCTCATACTAAATCAGCTTTTGGGAAAACGGGGACAGTGATGGGAAGACAGAATTGGAATTTTTTTGTACTCCTGGTTTCTCTTTCTCATAAAGAGGAAGGAGTGTTATGTGTGTGTGTGGTGATGTTACTTTTTTTTTTATATAAACCAAGCTAGGAGGAAGTGGAGAAGATTTCCCCATTTCTCTGTACTCTGGGAAAGGGCTTACCATAGCAGAGTGGGGAATAACTAGGGCATTGTGGTGCAGCTGGTTAAGATGCTGCTTGAAACACCTCCCCTCACCCGCCCTACCTCCCAACCCTGTCTCAGAGCTCTGATTTGATTTTTGGTTGCTTCACTTCCCATCCAGCTCCCTGCTAATGTGGTTGGAAGTCAGTCAATGATGACCCAAATGCAGGGACCCCTGCCATCCATGTGGGAGACGCAGATGGAGTTCTAGGCTCCTGCCTGGCTTGGTTCTGTGCTTGTGGTCACCTGAGGAGTGAAGCAGCCAGTGGAAGATTTCTGTATCTGGCTCTGTCTCTCAGCCTTTCAAACAAATACATGAAATTAACAAAGGGTGGATTCAGTGAGCCCGGGGTGAGGTAGGCTGGAAGTAGCAAGGTGGTGCTTCCTCACGAAGCCATTTCTGTAAGTGGAACGTTGCTGACTGATTTCACCTGCTGTAAATGAGACGTGGCAATTCTGATTGCTTACCCAGAATTTTGATATTACTGCTCTGTTTTAATGATCAAATATGAATATGCATGGCTTTCAATTTTTTTTTTTTTTTGCTCCCAAATCAACTTACCTTTTATTTCCATCTTTCCACACACTTTTCTAGGTCTGCTCACATGTATGCAGCCTCCACAGTTTGCAAAAATGTGTGCTGAGACATTGTTTCATTTGATACTTGGGGGATGGGCCCAGAGCATTTGCCAGAAAGGAAGCCGGTTCAGAGAAGTGTCACACAGCTCGTTGATGGTTGGGCTGTCATGAATCCCAGGCTAATGGATTTCTAGAACATTGCTCTAATCTTCTCGCTGGCATTTTAGGCTTGTAAAATAAAACTCATGTAGGTTAGCTAATCGGTGACAGATGCAGCTGTTGGCTTAAAAGCCAACACCTGCTGAGTGCCTAATGTAGAGGGTCCAGCAGTATGTGGGCCACTCTCTCGGGGCTTTCTTTGACACAGCTGAAGCATATTGATCAGCAACAGATGTTCATGATTGTAAGAAAGTGAGGCCTCGGTGCTCCTTTATAAGAGTCTTGCTGATAGAAAGGGGTTTTGAATCAGATTCTGAAGGATACAATAACAAACTAAGGGAGGGGCATTCGGGCCAGGTGCAGGGGCCTGGTGGGGAGAAGGGAGAGAGTGGTAGAGCATTTGCATCACTTTGGAATATTAAGAAATAGAGTGCTTATTTGTTGAAAGGCACTGTATGAAACTGGGGTTACACTGATGTGCATGCAGGACACCCTCACTGCTTTTGTGTTTCTTAAACTTTGGGAGGGACTAAATGTTGGTAATAAAATAATTGCTCAGACATATATAGGAACAAGGACAGGTTTCTAGCAGAGTGCCCCGGAACATGATAAATCAGTGACGTCTAAGCTGGTATGTGACGGAGCAAGTGTTAACTAGGCAGATAATTTTAGTGTTGGAAGTAGGGAAAGGAATGCTCCGGACAGCGGGTGGGGCAGAAGCAGAGGTTGTGGAAGAGCTCAAGAAAGGCCTGAGTGACGGAGCTGGGAGAATGGAATTGCATGAGTTGATGCTGGCAGGAGGCACACCCCTGGTCAGACTTTGGACTTTATTCTGGAAGTCCTCTGAGATCTCAGGAGTATGACAAGCCTGGATGACACAATCAAGCTTTCTTTCTGGAAAGATCCTCTTGGTGGTGCATGTTCTGGAGGCGGGACGTTAGAGGCTTAGGAACAATCAGGAGGCTTGGTGGCGGCAGTGAAGGTGGGGCCAGGGAAAGCCTCTAGGGCTTCAGGACAGCTACAGCATGTGGTGACGTGTTAGGTAGAGGAGAGGCACATGCCAAGAGTGCTTCTTGGATTCTGGATGCTCCGATGGAAGGGATGGTGGACCCAGGCTTTGACCTAGAGATCCCGGCACAGGGACACAGCGTGGGAAGAAGGTTATGACATCAGCTTTGGATACCAGGGAGGGAATTGGGTTTGGGATTTGAAAGCTCCAGTTGGACCCCAAGCAGGAATTGAGTGTAGGTCAGCGATGTATACTTGACAAGGGAAATTCAAGCAGTGAGAATGCTTACTGGCCCAGAGCAACCAGAGAGGGTACTTGAGTGGTCAGTCATGTGGGAGCATGCAGGAGTACTTTACAAGTGCATGGAGGTGTCTTTCTTTGCCTGTTTTGTTGTCATAGGCTTCAAAACTGTCAGGTGGCAACCCGTGTGTCTTTGGGGCCCAGGTACTTGGGTTGTGCACTGCCACAAAAGTACAGTGAGTCCACTGGATCTGTGAGGTCCATTCCTGGGGACTTGATCAACCACAGATTGAAGAAAGACACAGTGCTCAGAAGAAAATAATTGTTCTGAGTATGTCCAGTCTTAGTTCCTTGTCCTTATTCCCTAGACAGTGTGGTAGGACTGTGTGCAAACATTCGCGTGGGATTAAGTGTTGTGAGTAAGCAAAAGGTGAGTAAACCTGTGTATGGGAGGAGGGGCGGATGTTGTATTCTGATACTTCCTGTTCCATGTAAGGAGCTCGAGCATTTGCAGAATTTGCCTCCCTGCCCAGCTGATGGAGAACCGTAGGCACCTGCTGAGCCCCATTGCATTGTGTGTGCTCCCTTCTGACCACAGGACCCTCTCATTTCTCCTCAAACTGCACTGATGGCCGCCAGGGTTTGTTAAAAATCTTAGGCTCATTTAATCCCATGGAGTCCTAACCAATATCTGGTCTCCAAGGCTCTAATGCCTTCTCAGGTACCAGCTGGGAGCTCTTACGCGGTGGCACCTGGTTTGGTGGTACAGCTGATGTAGCTGGCGACATGGGTGTGCAGGGCTCGAGGTGCTGCATTCCACAGCAGGCCCCTCACTGGCATTCTCTTTTCAGAATGGCTGGAGCACCTCCAAGTTACTGTTTCGTGGCCTTCCCACCGCGCACCAAGGATGGGCTGGTGGTCTTTGGGAAGAACTCGGCAAGACCCAGAGACGAAGTGCAGGAGGTGGTGTATTTCTCAGCTGCTGAACATGAACCTGGGAGCAAGGTTGAGGTAGGTGGTACATGGTGACTGCTTCTCTGGCTTTGCCACTAGCTGCTGTGGCCTCCTCCTCTTCTCTTCCCTCTCCTGCTTTTAAAGATTTGTTTATTTGGTTGTCAGACTGACAGTGCTCTTCCATATGCTGGAACATTCCTTGAATGGCTGCAATAGCTGTTGTTGAGCCAGGCTGGGACCTGAACCCTGTGCTGTGGTATGAGATGCTGATATTCCAGACAGTAGCTGAGCCTGCTGCACCACAGTGCCAACCCCGTACTGTGGCTTCTTTCCTGGGGTCTGCCCACTGGTTACAATCATCCTGTCATTTCTGTTGGTTCTTGTTTCCATTTGGATTTGATGGCAGTTTTTGTTTTAAAATATTTATTTGAAAGTCAGTTACAGAGAGAGGAAAGCGAAGGATCTTCCATCTGCTCACCAAATGGCTACAGGGAGCGGGGCTGGGAGGCCAGGAGTCTCCCACACTGGGCTGTCCTCTGCTGCTGTCTCAGGTGTGTTAGCAAGGAGCAGGCTCAGAGGCACAGCAGCCTGGATATGAATCGGCACTCTTTGGGGATGCTGGCATCACAGGCAGTGGCTTTACCCGCTGTGCCGTGGCTCTGGTCCCCTGTTCGTAAGTTTAAGAACAAGGTCACTTGGAGAATTCCATGGTCACTGTTACGGTCCTTATTTATAATTAAATAAAATATTGACATGGTTCTAAAAGTCAAGTCTACAAAATGGTACATCTTTGTAGACGTCTAGCTTCTACACCTGTCTCCTTTATCTCTTTCTTCTCTCTTATAGGTCACCATGTTTCGGAAGTTTTTGGATTATCCTTCCTTTAGTACATATATACTCAGTGTTTTCCTCTTAGATTCACACTAACTTGCTGTGTACTCTTTTCTCCGTTTTGCTTTATTTTCCGATGTTTTTATTTAGTTTATTTCCACATTACTTGGAAGACACACACACACAGCGCAGGTGAGCTGTCTGCTGGCTCACTTCTCAGCAGCAGTGGCTTGGGCAGGCCAAAGCCAGGAGCCCAGAACCCAGTGCGGGTCTCCCATGTTGGGTTGTGGCAGAAATTCGAGCACCTGAGCCATCTGCTGCCACCTCGCAGGGTACACATGAGCAGAGAGCTGAATCAGAAGCAGAGAAAGGACTCCTGGGCACTCTGCCCTGGGATGTGAACACCGTAAGTGGTGTCTTACCTGCTGAGCCAAGTGCTCATCCCCATGATGTATTTTTCAACTAAATGCACACTTTACAGATCACTGCATATAGTGCATATAGGTACTCTTCATTCCTGTTGAGGGTTGCACAGTATTTCCAGTCTCTGGATGTTCCTGCTGCTGGGCTTGTTGGGTGTTTTCCAGTCTTTTGCTATTACAAATGGTGCTGAAAGGGGAAATGTCCTTGTGTACCAATCACAGTATCTGGTCTTGGCTTATATATGTTACAATTTAAAAATATATTCATTGATTTAAATTTTAAGTGCTTTGAAATATTTCTGTCAGTATTTCTGTGGGATTGAAGCTTTGAAATGGGATTGCTGAGTCGCAAGGTTGAGCCACACATAATTTTGTCAGTGTCAGCTTCCCTTCATTGGTGGTATGTTACTATAATCTCATTCAGCAATGCATGATGGCACCTGTCGCTCCATGCCACCATGTGTGTTGACCCACTCTCACGGTAGCTATTTTACATATCCAACTTAACATTCTACTAAATTCTGCTAAATTGTTTCCTTGATGGTGTTTGCTTTTTGTTGTGGATTCTCATGAGATTTCCCTGTGCAGCATCATGTTGCCTGCGAGTACAGATGGCTGGAGTGTTTGTCCACTGCTCATTATCTCCTTGCTCTGGTTCATGTCTTGGATTCAGCATTAAATGACAGCAGAGAGAGAGAGGGGAATCTTGGCCTTTGTCCTGAGCACGGCGGCCTCTGATACTTCACCATGGAGCGAGAATGCTGTAGAAAGACTGCTTAGTCTCCGTGGGGCTAAGCTTGCCATGGTTTTATCTGGCTGGAAATTATCCTTAATTATGCACAGTGCACAAAGCCACCACCAGCATCCCATATGGGTACTGGTTTGAGTCCCAGCTGCGCCGCTTCTGATCAGCTCTCTGCTGATGCCCTGGGGGAAGCAGGAGAGGCCAGTCCAATGCTGTGGGACCTCCTGCTTCAGGCCAACAAGCTTTGACCATTGCAGCCAGCTGGGGAGTGAACCAGCAGGTGGAAGATCTCTCTCTGCCTCTGTAACCCTGCCTTTCAAATAAAAGTAAATAAATTCTTAATTAAAAAATAGAATCATATCCCCAAATTCCCATTTTGAGTATTTTAAGAAAACATCAACTCGGGAATAGATAGTAATTTTTGTTGAAGGTCTTTTGAATGACTGTGGAGAGAACTAATTTTGGCCCAGTGAACCCTCTTAGCATTCATGGCATAACTCTCTTGGCTGGTGTATTTGTCTTTACAGGGTACATGTGTGTTTAAACGGTAGTTGTTTGCTCAAGGAGGAAGAATTTGGAGGTACAGAAGTTGGGACTAGTAAATAGATCAGTTCTTCCCACTGGCATGAGTAACCTCTGCTCTTTGGTGCAGTGGGGTTTATAAAATAAACGGACTTTTCTGGTAATTATGCCTTGGGTTTGTGTGGGAATTTATCGATGTGTGTTTTATTTCCTGGTCTAATCTCAAACCACTGGTTCTCTTTGTGTCCTTTAAATGAGGAGCGTGGGACTCTGAGGACCTGCTTGTTAGAGGCGCACTTGGCCCAGGCTTTGAGCTGAACCACCCAGCTGAGCATGCCCCGGCCCTCTGTGGCTGCCAACCTGGCCCACGCCCCCGGACCACCTTCTGTGTCGCTGAGGGTGAGGGCTGCATTGGCCGATGAGCTTTGAGTGTTCAGCAGTCAGTTGGTTGGTCTGTCTCTCTCTCTCACTCTCTCACTCTCTCATTCCCCAGAACAGAGCAGACTTTGTGTGGATGAAATCGGCGGGTCTGGGTTCCTTCTTTGATTCTCACATGGGTAGAATCAAGTTCCCTGAGGTGGCCACGCTAAATGCCAACCTACACGCAGTTTTTGTAAAGTAACAAGGATAGCTGGTCCCCCGGGAGAGGGTGAAATGGGGTCTGGGCCCTTCACCCTGGCCCTGGCCGGAGCCCCATGGTTTCTCTGACCCAGTAGAGCGTGGCAGAAGTGACAGTGTGATTTGCTGGGCTGGACATAGAACAGAGCCTCCACCTGTCTGTCTGTTTCCACTCTAGCCCCAAGAGCCCAGGTGCCCATCCTTTGGGGTGAATGACACGGGAGTGTGGCCATACTCCCTGCTCCTCGCTGTCCCTGTTCCTGACCCGTGAAGTTCATGAGCATCACTTTGGGGCTTTCACCCCACTGAGAATCTGAGTAATTTGTCAAGTAGTGTATCTACAACATTTTGCTGAATTCGCGTGTACGAAGGCCTGAAATAATTATTTATAAATGTGTTCCTTTTGGGGGTAAGCTAAAGAACCCTCAATACCTTATTCTCATGGTTACAGTCATGTTGGGAAATATGCCTTAGCTTATTTTGAGTAACACTTGGGGGAATCACTGCTTAGATATACACTGTAGGTTCACCCATGTCCCCTTGTGTAAAGAAGTGCTGTTTGATATGTACCGTAATTAGCCTCGGTTAGGCCCTGGCCTCTTTCTCGAGTTAGGTACCTATGTTTTGAATTGCTTCTCTACGTGTCCCACCTGTGTGTTCTGCAGGCACAGTAAGCACAGAGGTCCGAGACAGAATTCATCTCCTCCATCTCCTTTGCCACTGTTGTGTTACTGGCAGCTGTGTAGCTGTTGGGCCAGCCCTGGGGGAAATCTGACCCCTGATTTCCCATCATTCCTGCAAATGCAGGCACAGAGGCCACCTTTGCCCTTGTCTCGTCCAGACCATTGCCATCTGCCTTCTGGGAGAGTCCTCTTTCTGGTCCCCCAGGACCCTGTCCTTACAGTGTTGCTAGGATTTTATTCCCAGAATGAAGTGCTGTCACTCCCTGGTGGGAATATGTTGGGCTTTGTTTAGAGGGTGAGTCAAGGCTGATGGAGGCACCATGCACATGACTGTCAACGGTGGGGCCGGGTTCACAGTAGAGAAGAACTCCATTTCATGTTTATTTTTCTGCAAATATAAAAGTGTTATTTTTAAGTCTGAATTTGAAAAAAAAAAAAGTAGGCATCAAGGTGCCAGCTGGGGAGAGCTCTGAGACTGGTGCCATTTCATGTTTCAGCTGCTCCACTTTCCATCCAGCTCCCTGCTTGTGGCTTCTGGGTTCGATACAGTGGTGTTTGTTTAGTTTTGCTTCTGTTGTCTGGTGTTTGGAGTTGGGGGATGGTTTTATCAAAGAACTCCCCTGAACCAATATTCTCCCTGCATTCTCTTCCAGCAACATTAGAGTCTCAGTTCTGAAATGTAGGTCTTTGATCCATCTTGTGTTGATACTAATCTTCATATATACATCCAGTGTTGCCAGCACAATCTGTTGAAGGGATTATCTTTACTCCACTGTATGGTGTGAGCTCTTTTGTCAAAAACCCAGTGGCTGTACGTAGATTATTTCCTGGCTCTCCATTCCTTTCTGTTGACCTATGCATTGGTTCTTATGCCAGTACCATGCTGTTTTAATTACTGTAGCTTAATAGTATACTTTGAAATCTAATATTGTACTGCTCATAGTTTACCTTTCTTGTTCATGATTGCTTTGGCTGTTTGAGGGCTGTTGCGATTCCATATAGATTTTAGGATTGTTTTAATTCTGTAAGAAATGTTACATTTTGATGAGGATTGCATTGAATCTGTAGATTGCTTAGATAGTACAGAAATTTTAATGATACTGATTTTTATAAATCCATGAATAAGAAATATATCTTTCATTTTTTTGGGAGGGTCTCTGGTGATTTTTTTCTTTTTAAGATTTATTTTGTTCTATTGCAAAGTCAGTTATACAGCAAGAAGGACAGTCAGAGAGG